ATTCATATTTGTGTTTGAGACGATAGTGCAATACTGTGAAATTCATGTATTTTTTACAATAAATTTAAAAAAAAATTATATATATATATATATATATATATATATATATATATATATATATATATATATATATATATATATATATATATATATATATATATTATATAGTGTAGTAAAAAAATAGCGTATTTCAGTGGCGGAACTAGAAAAAGAGGGCCACCCCGCAAATAAAAATTCTGCCCCCCCCCCATATATATATATATATATATATATATATATATATATATATATATATATATATATATATATATATATATATATATATATATATATATATATATATATACAAACACAGAATACAAACATGGATACTCATTTCTGGCCTTATCGTGTTTTGAGAAAAAAAATGTTTTTTTTTTCAATTTAAACAAATTACATGTCGTGTGTGTTTCCTGCTTTTTTGTATTTATATTATTTGTTTTAAATATGTTTCCTTTTTATCATTTTATGCTATGTCATTCTTTAGTATGTTTTTTTTTACAAATAATAAATAAGCGAAGTAATTGCTTTTTAATTTTTTTAATACAAATATATCAAAAGGAGCTTATGAGCACCCCTATTTAACTATTTAAAAAAAGGGAAATAAGTCTTGGAAGTGTTTCGAACGTTTGCCTATCTTTCACACTACAGATCAGGCTTATATGTTTTACACAACAGCACGTGTTAGCTACTTTATAACAGCACTACTGTAGTAGATCTGTTTGTTATTTACAAAATCTTTTATTCTCAAGTTAAGAATGCAAGAAAATTAATTTTTTTAACTATAAAAAATGTATTATGGTCGGCCATGGGCCCCTAAAAAGCGTGCCCCCCCCCCCCCCCGTAATGCGGGGTCTGGCGGCACTGTAGTTCCGCCCCTGGCGTATTTGATTGTCAATAAGGACAAGGTCAACGCCAAAACCAAATTTTGGATAACTAGTAGAAATTACCAACGCCACAGTTGAAAACAACGTAATAATTGTCTGTCAACAAAGACCAATGCCAGAACTGAACCGAGTTATTATAAAACTGCTATGAGATAGGAATAGTTGTTGTGACGCAGCTGGTGTGAATAATAGCATTAGAGTTGTCAACTTGAAGACAAATGGACAAACTAATAATAAACTTTACGTAATGGTTGTTGCCAAAATAGAATAGTTAGACCTTTTTGACTACACCTGAACTAACATCTGTGTGTGAAAGAGAGACGTCCAATGTCTGGGTGTGTATATAAGCAGCTATACTTTTGGGTATGTGTCTAGAAAAACTGATAAACAATCGGAGACAGAAAGGCCGAGATAATGAGATTGGATGGTGACCGGGAGTATCCACTAGAAAGTTCGAGAATGAATTGAACGCAGAGACAAGTGTGAGTAGATCGCGAGGGACGGATTCATACAGGTTATGGACCTGTGTTGACATTTACCTAATTATCTGAACCGTGATTATTCATAAAGAAATAATGTGTTGTAATCTCGAACCTGCAGAGAGTGTCAGAGTGTGCTTCTATATATGAGTTGTATATGTTAGTGCCAAATGAGTTGTCTGCAGCCTAGGGGCGGAATTCCTCAGCCGTGAACAAATACCTACAGACAGGTTGTTATACGCCTCTGTCGCATTTGGGTACTGTGATAAGGGGTCGCAAGATAACTTATTCTGTAAAAAAAATATTTTAATTTCGCAAGGGTGGCGCCCCGGGAGGATGCAATTTTTCTCAATATACAACATAAAAAAAAGAAAGTTGGACGCGGTTCGACACCGTTTACCTGAGTGCCATGAAACTTTAGGGAGTTAATGAATACTGCCAAGGTTTCTGCTGGGGGGGGGGGGGGCTAATTTCGCACGGGCAGCCCCCGGCAGGATGCAATTTGGCTTCCTGGTCATTCCCGTGAGCGCTATGGCGACTATGTTTGGTCTAAACAGTTTGGTCTAAACAGCGTGATAGACAATGGATATGATGGGGTGTTACAAACGTTCACTAAATTGAATCAGGCGTGACCGCCGGCGCCCTGGTAGTGTGCGATTTGGCTGCAAACAAAAATTTCAGTTTCTGCCCCCAAAGGCTAACATGGGCCGCTGAGGGCCATGTAATACATTTTATTTTACCAATCAGAAAAATTAACCAAGGTTAGATGATTATAAACTGGTACGTTTCTTTTTGTCCTTAAAAAAATCCAAACAGTTTCCTCACTTTGCGAATGATGCAATTAGCATCTATTTTAGAAAATTCAATTATAAATTGATATCGAGCATCTAATAATAGACCATTAGTAACTGTAACATATTGCATCGGTCACACTGATGTTTTTAAAACACGTCAAATATTTTTTTTTACGTGTTAAACAAAAATCCTGTTCATTTGTGTCACTTTAGCGAATGACGAAATCTGCATCATTATTAACAGGATGCTATTTGGCACGATGGCGCCTGTTAGTTTTAAGGAGCCATGGGTCGTACGCCGTGCCTATGCGGTAGTGTAATCGGAGGGTGGGGGCCCTGAGAGCGCCCCTGTACGTCTCTGACACATGGGCGGTCACCGAAGTGTGTTCTACCATATTATTTCGGTGAGTGATTAATGTACATTCAATGTTTTCATGCGGTAGTGTAGGTAAACCAGAAAAGACGGTCACGCGTCAAAGAACATATGGTTGGTAACTCGTTGGTTGAATCCTTCTAATACATTTCGTCAAACTAAGTAAAAAGCTGTACTAGATTACTATATTTATTAAGAATAATTATCATTAAAAAAGTTTTTAAAAACCCACGTTTTCTGATTGAACTAAAAAAGAGAAAATAAATGCTATACATCACAATAATGCAAGCGATCACTCTACTATAAGCGATGAAAAACGTGGGGCGCCGAAGTAAAAGTTATATTACTATTGATTAGATAATACTATTGAGTTTTATTAGGGAGCTTGTAGAGAGTCAACAGTATTAGAAACTGTAAGAAAATCACGGCGCCCCACGTTTTTCATCGTAGATAAAACAGTGAATTAAACATGAAAGAGAAGGGGTTTCCTGTTCAACTGATTGGAACGAATCTCAGCATTTTTTGTGAATGGATGTTGCAATATGATATCACGTGCTCTCAATATTGAGAGACTACTGGTCGGCTGAACTGATGGTTGCAACTGTGATGCCAAAATAAAGATTTGAAGTCAGATGGTATTTTATTTGTAAAAGAGACAAGAATTCCATTCTGACAACAATGAAGTATCCCATCATCTATAGGCCTACATCAAATGATAGGCAGAGCTCGAATGTTGGGTTTAATGAAAGAAAATCATCTGAAGTCGTGTTCGTAGATGCAGGAAGTTCAAATCGATCCCATAACCTGAACACAAGTCGATACACCAAAGAAGAAAAACGCATTAGGCGTGTGCAATGTGCAAGAGAAAAGATTGAGAACAGGACTGACAATATGTGCGATATCTGCCACGTTAACGTATGTTAACAAATGCATCACATAACTGCTTCTAGAAGTTCCATTAATGGATCACAATACACGCATAATTAAAATAAAATAAATGTGTTCTAATCCCTGATATTATTTGTTTAATGTTCTAGACAACTCATAGAGTTTGAACACTTTTAAAATCAATATTATGAATATATCTCACACTTTAAACTATTGTAAATACATTTTCCTGTCTGCCAATAGGGACACATTTGTCTCACGCCACATCTCGGAATCTATTAAAGATATCTGCAAACCGTCACCTTTTTAAATAATATCTACTTGTCATTTTAGTGTTAAATATACGCCCACGTATATTTGAAAGTACGCATACAACCCTGACGGTCCGTGGAGGGTAAGTGTTTGAATTGCAAGCGTATTTAAATTTGTTTTAAATACATAGTGCATACAGTAATGCGTAAATATCAGCAATCATTACCTCATTCACATACATTTACTATTTGAAGCCGAGTGCTGATTAATGACAATTAAATTGGTTTATTTTGGGGTTTAAAAAAATAAAGTAGCAGAAATCTGAAAAAAGACTTTACAATTCAATCCAATTAAAAAGGACATCAAGTAATAGCTCTCAAATATATTCAGCTCTGTTTCTCGCTAAAATATAAAGACACGCTTGAAACCAAAACATTCCTACCTCAAATATCACAGACAAATGGTTATTGATTAAGAATAATGCTTTAGTATCTTGATTCGTCAGCGTGACTGAATTAGTATATGTAGGTTATAACTTAAATCCGCATCTGATGGAGTAATTACATTGTCTCTGCTAAATAAATTAACATCAATACTGTTTTCGGGACGGGGGGGGGTTATATGCCGATAAGTGACGTAATTTAAGAGCCTGGCTTTATCAGTAAATAAAAATGGGAAAAATCGTCAAAGGGGTCATCTATAAATGACGTCACGCTTTTTTTGACGATTTTTACCACCCCCCCCCCCACCCTCTCATCCGTCACACGTCGTCACAAAAAGCCAGCCCCCCCCCCCCCCCCCCACCTAAAATGACTTCCAAACTCAACCTACAACCCCCATCAAAATTGCAGTTGAATTTTTTTTTAAACATCGATATTTTTCTAAAATCTTGTCTAAACTATTACGATTTATTAAAACAGTTATCTAAAACGCAAAATAACGTCTAAAATTCGTTTTCTAACATTGCTTTTTTATAATCCAAAAATGTGACGTCGTAACATCTGAACCTCCCCCCTCCCCCTCATCACACATCGTCACAAAATTACGGACCCCCCCCCCTCCCCCCTACGAGTGTGACGTCATTTATGGATGACCCCAAAACAAATTTACATCGTCTAGGGATGAAACCCGATGACAGCTAACATCGACGGAAACTCCAAAGATAAATATAGACTGGGTTTCCCAGTCAGCCATATTGTTCGGGAAATCCCAATATGAACTCGTTAAACCCTAATAAGTAATAAGTGTTAAATCACTGAAGGTACTGGTAAGTCAAATGTAATTTTTTTAAACAGTAACAAAATAGCCTAAGATTAGGATGAATCAAGGTTAGGTAGTGGACTATTTAGTGTAGTTATTTGTATAATAAAATGGGCCAATGTTGAGAATTGAGTATATGTAGGCCCGTAGGCTATATTTTTTACTTATGATTAGCCTATTTATTATTTATTTGACAGCATACTGTTACATTTTAAATTAAAAACCATCTCGCTGAATAACGTAAAATGTGTTTTTTTTAATATTTAGTTATTTTAGTTGCTATTAAATTCTTTATTGGTATGTATCTGTATGTCTAAGAATAAAAAAAAGAAAAACTAAGCCATTTAACATATAAATTTGTCTTATTATTTTCCAGCATGATCTATTTTTAATACCCTTACTATAATACTATTAATATAAATTTCATCTTAACAACTAATTCTATAAGCATTAACATCATACTATACCCCAAAAAAAAAAATAGCTACAAAAAAACCTTGTCACACTTAATGAGTAATTTATTATTATTATTATTATTATTATTATTGTTGTTGTTGTTGTTGTTGTTGTTATTATTATTATTATTATTATTATTATTATTATTATTATTGTCATAGCTTTTTTATGAGTAAAAAAATTATAATGGAACATTGCACTCTCTGGCTGTTTTTCCAGGTTGCAGTAAAGTACCTAGTGTGTTTCACAGACATGGATTATAATTAATATAATTTCAAAGTGTATCACCTTGTATTAAAAAACAACATCCAAAAAGTTCTACCATACGTGAAATAAATGCTTTAATTATAGTATTGTGATTAATACATTAAGCACATTATAGTCAGTTGCAGTTAGCACTAGCTACACAATAGTACATATGTTAATACATGTCTAAAGCCTATTAAATTATATAGGATATATTTACTTTATATATATATATATATATATATATATATATATATATATATATATATATATATATATACATACATATATATATATATATATATATATATATATATATATATATCCTATTTACTCTTCAGGTTCTGAATAATGTTTTAAAAGAGATGCTAATACCTACCTGTTTGCTTAAACCCAATACATTATGAAATGGATGATACAACTCTAGATCCAGAATACTTGAAACAGTTGAAGCCTTCCTTTCTTCAACTGTTTATTAACTTTGTGAAAATATGTAATGTCATTAGTTTGTTTCATAAGTACAACATCAACGTATTGACAGAAATTGATGTGGTAAGTATTTAAATATTTATACCCCTTAATACAATAACTAGTGAAAACAGTATTGAGATAATGTGTCTTTATTTATAATGTTTTTTTTAACTCCTAGGAGAACATACAAAAATTATCTGATAAGAAAGGAGACAGAGAAGGAAGTATACTGCTGTTTGAGAGACTTGTCTTGTACAAGGGATGGTACGATTGTCTGCTACAAGTTCTTCGTGATAGAGATGTACGTCTGTCTCATGTAGCTCATGAAATGGAAGTGATGAAAGGTATAAACTCTCAGCATTTAGAGTTTTATGGGTCATTTAAAATCTTTTAAAGTCATGTTGTAGGTCAATAATAATTATAATTTACTTTGCAGCTAAAATTTGATCAAAGTATTTTAAATGTAAAAATTTGAAAAATTGCAGGTTTATTAGATGAAAAGATTTTGAGTGAGGAATCGGATGACCAGGTAACAGGACAGGTTAAGTCGTGAATTAAAGCATTTTTTATTAGCTATGTTTATTATTCATAGTTGACGTTGCTACACCAAAATAAAAAACAGTTTGACATGTCTTGTTTAGATAAGACAAGTTGCAAATTCTTAACTCTGATTAATAAGGATCAAGTTGATGTGCTTAATTATGACTGTATTTTTATTGTCAATATTTTTTTTTACCAAAATATATTTGTTTAAATAAAATCCATACTTCAGCATGCTAATAATTTTGCTTCCATAAGACTCAAACTACAGTTCAATGGTTAGCTGGTATGGCAATGTTGATAAGTGGATCTACTACAGTGTTGCGTGTTACTCCACACTCAACAAATCTTAACAAATTAAAAGGTAACAGATAAAAGTAAAGAGTTATAAACATTATAAGTTAAATAGAAAATGGCATTGTACATAAAATATGAAAAATAAATAGAAATCATTATTATTCAACTAATAAAAGAGAAATAATACAAGGTCATATGTGAGAACATTTTGATTTGTTTTGTCTCTACATCCATCCATTTAGTTCTATATGTAGATATTTTATGTTAACAAAAACTTGCTACCACTGAGTGAGAAATCTGATACATTATATTTATGAATCTGTTTAATTGTGCATAAAGACCAATAATTTTTATCTCATTTTTTAAAACCAATAGTGGATCCAATTTTAGAGATGAGATCACTTAAACTGAAAATTGAACTAGGTAGGTGGAATAACATGTTGTTGTGGATTATTTTTATTTGCATTTCTATTGACAAAATAATTACGAGCCGACCCGGCTTTTATTTTCTACTTTTCAGTAATTCATAATTTGTGAATTCGACCGTATCAATGCTGTCACTGAAAATATTTGCTTGAAAACACTAAAGCCCTCATTTCCCCCAACCCCCCCCCCCCCTCCCCGTGAAAGCAGCCTCCTCTTAGTTACCTCCCCTAAGTTTAAAATAGTTTCAAACTAAATTATCTGCCCCTAATAGGCGTCCTTAAACCCGACTCTACGATTGTAAACATTTAGCATGAACCACAGCTCACCCGACCATGTGGGTCTAGAGAGGAAGAGAGAGGACTGCTAGGCACGCGTACAGCTTGTTTTCTAACGTCTCCAAGAAGAGAATTATTATATAGATGATGAGTGTAAATATTAATGTTTGAATTCACTTTCCCAAACAATATGCTATATACTAATAAACAAATGGCTTGGATGTTTAAAGATAATTGAAATCAGATGGGACAAATATGGAATTAGTGGAACATAAGTATTATGTTGCTAGAAAATGCTATTAGTTGATTAACTTTAGTATTTTATGCCTAATCTAATTTTAAAAGACCAATCCTTATCTTACCATTATATAAGTTTACTTTAAAAGATGTCAATCATTTGATATTTTAATTTACTAAACAGAAAGACTTAAAAAAGAATTAGAAGATGTAAAACAAAATCTAATGGAACGAAACCAATCTTTTGAACAACAACATCTTGAGGCAAACTCTGTTCTATCTAGTGATTCAAGTGATGTTGGTAATAAAAATATTAATCTTTTAAATTATAACTTTTGGACTAAAAATTGCATCTGTCGATTATCATCAATTTAAACTTTCAAAAAAAATTAAATTTTATAAAAAGCCAGCCCCCCCCCCCCCCCCCACCTAAAATGACTTCCAAACTCAACCTACAACCCCCATCAAAATTGCAGTTGAATTTTTTTTTAAACATCGATATTTTTCTAAAATCTTGTCTAAACTATTACGATTTATTAAAACAGTTATCTAAAACGCAAAATAACGTCTAAAATTCGTTTTCTAACATTGCTTTTTTATAATCCAAAAATGTGACGTCGTAACATCTGAACCTCCCCCCTCCCCCTCATCACACATCGTCACAAAATTACGGACCCCCCCCCCCCTCCCCCCTACGAGTGTGACGTCATTTATGGATGACCCCAAAACAAATTTACATCGTCTAGGGATGAAACCCGATGACAGCTAACATCGACGGAAACTCCAAAGATAAATATAGACTGGGTTTCCCAGTCAGCCATATTGTTCGGGAAATCCCAATATGAACTCGTTAAACCCTAATAAGTAATAAGTGTTAAATCACTGAAGGTACTGGTAAGTCAAATGTAATTTTTTTAAACAGTAACAAAATAGCCTAAGATTAGGATGAATCAAGGTTAGGTAGTGGTCTATTTAGTGTAGTTATTTGTATAATAAAATGGGCCAATGTTGAGAATTGAGTATATGTAGGCCCGTAGGCTATATTTTTTACTTATGATTAGCCTATTTATTATTTATTTGACAGCATACTGTTACATTTTAAATTAAAAACCATCTCGCTGAATAACGTAAAATGTGTTTTTTTTAATATTTAGTTATTTTAGTTGCTATTAAATTCTTTATTGGTATGTATCTGTATGTCTAAGAATAAAAAAAAGAAAAACTAAGCCATTTAACATATAAATTTGTCTTATTATTTTCCAGCATGATCTATTTTTAATACCCTTACTATAATACTATTAATATAAATTTCATCTTAACAACTAATTCTATAAGCATTAACATCATACTATACCCCAAAAAAAAAAATAGCTACAAAAAAACCTTGTCACACTTAATGAGTAATTTATTATTATTATTATTATTATTATTGTTGCTGTTGTTGTTGTTGTTGTTATTATTATTATTATTATTATTATTATTATTATTATTATTGTCATAGCTTTTTTATGAGTAAAAAAATTATAATGGAACATTGCACTCTCTGGCTGTTTTTCCAGGTTGCAGTAAAGTACCTAGTGTGTTTCACAGACATGGATTATAATTAATATAATTTCAAAGTGTATCACCTTGTATTAAAAAACAACATCCAAAAAGTTCTACCATACGTGAAATAAATGCTTTAATTATAGTATTGTGATTAATACATTAAGCACATTATAGTCAGTTGCAGTTAGCACTAGCTACACAATAGTACATATGTTAATACATGTCTAAAGCCTATTAAATTATATAGGATATATTTACTTTATATATATATATATATATATATATATATATATATATATATATATATATACATACATATATATATATATATATATATATATATATATATATATATATATATATATATATCCTATTTACTCTTCAGGTTCTGAATAATGTTTTAAAAGAGATGCTAATACCTACCTGTTTGCTTAAACCCAATACATTATGAAATGGATGATACAACTCTAGATCCAGAATACTTGAAACAGTTGAAGCCTTCCTTTCTTCAACTGTTTATTAACTTTGTGAAAATATGTAATGTCATTAGTTTGTTTCATAAGTACAACATCAACGTATTGACAGAAATTGATGTGGTAAGTATTTAAATATTTATACCCCTTAATACAATAACTAGTGAAAACAGTATTGAGATAATGTGTCTTTATTTATAATGTTTTTTTTAACTCCTAGGAGAACATACAAAAATTATCTGATAAGAAAGGAGACAGAGAAGGAAGTATACTGCTGTTTGAGAGACTTGTCTTGTACAAGGGATGGTACGATTGTCTGCTACAAGTTCTTCGTGATAGAGATGTACGTCTGTCTCATGTAGCTCATGAAATGGAAGTGATGAAAGGTATAAACTCTCAGCATTTAGAGTTTTATGGGTCATTTAAAATCTTTTAAAGTCATGTTGTAGGTCAATAATAATTATAATTTACTTTGCAGCTAAAATTTGATCAAAGTATTTTAAATGTAAAAATTTGAAAAATTGCAGGTTTATTAGATGAAAAGATTTTGAGTGAGGAATCGGATGACCAGGTAACAGGACAGGTTAAGTCGTGAATTAAAGCATTTTTTATTAGCTATGTTTATTATTCATAGTTGACGTTGCTACACCAAAATAAAAAACAGTTTGACATGTCTTGTTTAGATAAGACAAGTTGCAAATTCTTAACTCTGATTAATAAGGATCAAGTTGATGTGCTTAATTATGACTGTATTTTTATTGTCAATATTTTTTTTTACCAAAATATATTTGTTTAAATAAAATCCATACTTCAGCATGCTAATAATTTTGCTTCCATAAGACTCAAACTACAGTTCAATGGTTAGCTGGTATGGCAATGTTGATAAGTGGATCTACTACAGTGTTGCGTGTTACTCCACACTCAACAAATCTTAACAAATTAAAAGGTAACAGATAAAAGTAAAGAGTTATAAACATTATAAGTTAAATAGAAAATGGCATTGTACATAAAATATGAAAAATAAATAGAAATCATTATTATTCAACTAATAAAAGAGAAATAATACAAGGTCATATGTGAGTACATTTTGATTTGTTTTGTCTCTACATCCATCCATTTAGTTCTATATGTAGATATTTTATGTTAACAAAAACTTGCTACCACTGAGTGAGAAATCTGATACATTATATTTATGAATCTGTTTAATTGTGCATAAAGACCAATAATTTTTATCTCATTTTTTAAAACCAATAGTGGATCCAATTTTAGAGATGAGATCACTTAAACTGAAAATTGAACTAGGTAGGTGGAATAACATGTTGTTGTGGATTATTTTTATTTGCATTTCTATTGACAAAATAATTACGAGCCGACCCGGCTTTTATTTTCTACTTTTCAGTAATTCATAATTTGTGAATTCGACCGTACCAATGCTGTCACTGAAAATATTTGCTTGAAAACACTAAAGCCCTCATTTCCCCCAACCCCCCCCCTCCCCGTGAAAGCAGCCTCCTCTTAGTTACCTCCCCTAAGTTTAAAATAGTTTCAAACTAAATTATCTGCCCCTAATAGGCGTCCTTAAACCCGACTCTACGATTGTAAACATTTAGCATGAACCACAGCTCACCCGACCATGTGGGTCTAGAGAGGAAGAGAGAGGACTGCTAGGCACGCGTACAGCTTGTTTTCTAACGTCTCCAAGAAGAGAATTATTATATAGATGATGAGTGTAAATATTAATGTTTGAATTCACTTTCCCAAACAATATGCTATATACTAATAAACAAATGGCTTGGATGTTTAAAGATAATTGAAATCAGATGGGACAAATATGGAATTAGTGGAACATAAGTATTATGTTGCTAGAAAATGCTATTAGTTGATTAACTTTAGTATTTTATGCCTAATCTAATTTTAAAAGACCAATCCTTATCTTACCATTATATAAGTTTACTTTAAAAGATGTCAATCATTTGATATTTTAATTTACTAAACAGAAAGACTTAAAAAAGAATTAGAAGATGTAAAACAAAATCTAATGGAACGAAACCAATCTTTTGAACAACAACATCTTGAGGCAAACTCTGTTCTATCTAGTGATTCAAGTGATGTTGGTAATAAAAATATTAATCTTTTAAATTATAACTTTTGGACTAAAAATTGCATCTGTCGATTATCATCAATTTAAACTTTCAAAAAAAATTAAATTTTATAAAAAGTTTTTTGTAGATTTAGTTTTGATTTAGATATTTTTCCACAACAATTTGTCTTCGAAAGTCTAAAAGTATTTGCTAATATGTTTGCTGTTTGGATGAACAAAAAACGAACAAGTAATCAATTACCCAATTTTAATATATATATTAACATTTCAAAATGTTACAAGTACATCAAGAAGATAACCATTTCAAAGTATTTAATTTTTATCATCCCATAAACTGTTTAATTCAAATATTAAAAACACATTTTTTGTTTATTAATTTTAGAAATATTCAATTAAGAAAACAAATAATACATTCTACATATAAGAAATTTCTAATAACAAACAACTACCCAACAGATCATTTAGCAGGAAAAATGTGTGAACTTTGCAAAAGTAGTAAAGAAATGCTCAAACAGAATGGTAGGTCTTCAAAAATTTTAACACCATTTTACTATTTTTTAAGTCACTTATTATTTTATCTAAACATGAAAATTTGTCCTTATAATTTTTAAAAAATTTTTCCAACTGAATGAGAATGAAATACCTATTATTTTACAAGTTTAAAAAAGCTGTAATCAATTTTTACAAAAATAATAGGCGTAACACATTTCTTTGTAATACTTAAATAATTTGTCATTTTCATTATGATTTTTTTACCTTTGATAAGAGATACTACAAACTGAGCTCAGAGAAGCATATTCTGATAGTAAGGCATTTTGTGAAAAACTCAACCAGGAAAAAGGTATAGAAAATTAATAAATCATATAACACAAACACTTGTGTTTGTAACTTTAAAAAAAAAATTCATGTCTCACATGTATGCTATTATTTTACATTCTACTTCAGACACTCATTAATTAAATTCTCACAAGTCTCTAATTTAAAATTTAATTTCAAATTTCCCATGCATTTTTCTTTTTATTCTACCCGAAGTGCTAAAAACTGATGTTGACCATCTATTCTGTACATTTATCATTGTCATTGTTGTGTATCTAAACAGAGAAACTACAAACTGAGCTTGACCATCTCAAAAAGGAATTTTCTGATAGAAAGGACTCATATGAAAAGCTCCACCAAGAAAAAGGTATGAACATCTCATGTTTAGAATATAATAAACATTAGTTTTGTGTTTTGCCTTAAAATTCTCACATGTATGAACTTTTTTTATCTGCTGTAGACATTTTAAAAATATTATTTTTTAACAATGTAAAATTTCTAGACAATATTCGTCATTACTTAAAAATGTTAAACTAAAGAATATATGTTATATTCTACTATTTATAATGTGTTTCCTGAAAATTCATTTTGGTTTTATTGTCTTTGTTTTACAATTTCAACACATTTTACTAATTTCTGCAAATTTAGTAAGTGAACAATTTAAAGCAGGTACATTTCAAACCAGTAAATGTAATTTTAACAATCCGCAATAGTGGTAAGATTATAGTAGTTTGATTATTTATCTATTCTGTACATTTATCATTGTCATTGTTGTGTATCTAAACAGAGAAACTACAAACTGACCTTGACCATCTCAAAAAGGAATTTTCTGATAGAAAGGACTCATATGAAAAGCTCCACCAAGAAAAAGGTATGAACATCTCATATTTAGAATATAATAAATATTAGTTTTGTGTTTTTCCTTAAAATTCTCACATATATGAACTTTTTTCATCTGTTGTAGACATTTTAAAAATATTATTTTTTTAACAATGTAAAATTTCTAGACAATATTCGTCATTACTTAAAAATGTTAAACTAAAGAATATATGTTATATTCTACTATTTATAATGTGTTTCCTGAAAATGCATATTGGTTTTATTGTCTTTGTTTGTTTTACAATTTCAACACATTTTACTAATTTCTACTAAAAATTTAGTAAATGTACATTTTAAAGCAGGTGCATTTCAAACTAGTGAATGTAATGTAAACAATCTGCAATAGCAGTCAAATCATAGTAGTTTGATTATTTATTTATTCTGTACATTTATCATTGTCATTGTTGTGTATCTAAACAGAGAAACTAAAAACTGAGCTTGGCCATCTCCAAAAGGAATTTTCTGATAGAAAGGACTCATATGAAAAGCTCCACCAAGAAAAAGGTATGAACATCTCATATTTAGAATATAATAAACATTAGTTGTGTTTTTCCTTAAAATTCTCACATGCATGAACTTTTTTCATCTGCTTTAGACATTTAAAAAATATTATTTTTTTAACAATGTAACATTTCTAGACAATATTCATCATTACTTAAAAATGTTAAAGTAAAGAATATATGTTATAGTCTACTATTTATAATGTGTTTCCTGAAAACTCATATTGGTTTTGTTGTCTTTGTTTGTTTTACAATTTCAACACATTTTACTAATTTCTACTAAAAATTTAGTAAGTGTACAATTTAAAGCAGGTACATTTCAAACCAATAAATGTAATTTTAACAAACCGCAAAAACGGTCAGATCATGGTAGTTTGATTATTTATTTATTCTTTACATGTATCATTGTCATTGTTGTGTATCTAAACAGAGAAACTACAAACTGATCTTGACCATCTCAAAAAGGAATTTTCTGATAGAAAGGACTCATATGAAAAGCTCCACCAAGAAAATGGTATGTTCATCTCATATTTAGAATATAATAAACATTAGTTTTGTGTTCTTCCTTAAAATTCTCACATGTATGAACTTTTTTTATCTGCTGTAGACATTTAAAAAATATTTTTTTAACAATATCATATTTATTGACACTATTCGTCAGTACTGCAAAATGTTAAACTAAAAAATATGTTATAATCTACTATTTATAATGTGTTTCCTGAAAATTCATATTGGTTTTATTGTCTTTGTTTGTTTTACAATTTCAACACATTTTATAAATTTCTTCTAAAAACTTAGTAAGTGTACATTTTAAAGCAGGTGCATTTCAAACTAGTGAATGTAATGTAAACAATCTGCAATAGCAGTCAAATCATAGTAGTTTGATTATTTATTTATTCTGTACATTTATCATTGTCATTGTTGTGTATCTAAACAGAGAAACTAAAAACTGAGCTTGGCCATCTCCAAAAGGAATTTTCTGATAGAAAGGACTCATATGAAAAGCTCCACCAAGAAAAAGGTATGAACATCTCATATTTAGAATATAATAAACATTAGTTGTGTTTTTCCTTAAAATTCTCACATGCATGAACTTTTTTCATCTGCTTTAGACATTTAAAAAATATTATTTTTTTAACAATGTAACATTTCTAGACAATATTCATCATTACTTAAAAATGTTAAAGTAAAGAATATATGTTATAGTCTACTATTTATAATGTGTTTCCTGAAAACTCATATTGGTTTTGTTGTCTTTGTTTGTTTTACAATTTCAACACATTTTACTAATTTCTACTAAAAATTTAGTAAGTGTACAATTTAAAGCAGGTACATTTCAAACCAATAAATGTAATTTTAACAAACCGCAAAAACGGTCAGATCATGGTAGTTTGATTATTTATTTATTCTTTACATGTATCATTGTCATTGTTGTGTATCTAAACAGAGAAACTACAAACTGAGCTTGACCATCTCAAAAAGGAATTTTCTGATAGAAAGGACTCATATGAAAAGCTCCACCAAGAAAAAGGTATGAACATCTCATATTTAGAATATAATAAACATTAGTTTTTTTTTTCCCTACAATTCTCAGATATATGACCTTTTTTCATTTGTTGTAGACATTTAAAAAATATTATTTTTTTAACAATGTAAAATTTCAAGACAATATTCGTCATTACTTAAAAATGTTAAACTAAAAAATATATGTTATATTCTACTATTTATAATGTGTTTCCTGGAAATTCATATTGGTTTTATTGTCTTTGTTTGTTTTACAATTTCAACACATTTTACTAATTTCTACAAATTTAGTAAGTGTACAATTTAAAGCAGGTACATTTCAAACCAGTAAATGTAATATAAACTATCCGCAATAGCAGTCATATCATAGTAGTTTGATTATTTATCTATTCTGTACATTTATCATTGTCATTGTTGTGTATCTTAAAAGAGAAACAACAAACTGAGCTTGACCATCTCAAAAAGGAATTTTCTGATAGAAAGGACTCATATGAAAAGCTCCACCAAGAAAAAGGTATGAACATCTCATATTTAGAATATAATAAACATTAGTTTTGTGTTTTTCCTTAAAATTCTCACATATATGAACTTTTTTCATCTGTTGTAGACATTTTAAAAATATTATTTTTTTAACAATGTAAAATTTCTAGACAATATTCGTCATTACTTAAAAATGTTAAACTAAAGAATATATGTTATATTCTACTATTTATAATGTGTTTCCTGAAAATTCATATTGGTTTTATTGTCTTTGTTTGTTTTACAATTTCAACACATTTTACTAATTTCTGCAAATTTAGTAAGTGTACAATTTAAAGCAGGTACATTTCAAACCAGTCAATTTTAATTTTAACCATCCGCAATAATCGTCAGATCACAGTAGTTTGATTATTTATCTATTCTGTACATTTATCATTGTCATTGTTGTGTATCTAAACAGAGAAACTACAAACTGAGCTTGACCATCTCAAAAAGGAATTTTCTGATAGAAAGGACTCATATGAAAAGCTCCACCAAGAAAAAGGTATGAACATCTCATGTTTAGAATATAATAAACATTAGTTTTGTGTTTTGCCTTAAAATTCTCACATGTATGAACTTTTTTTATCTGCTGTAGACATTTTAAAAATATTATTTTTTAACAATGTAAAATTTCTAGACAATATTCGTCATTACTTAAAAATGTTAAACTAAAGAATATATGTTATATTCTACTATTTATAATGTGTTTCCTGAAAATTCATATTGGTTTTATTGTCTTTGTTTGTTTTACAATTTCAACACATTTTACTAATTTCTGCAAATTTAATAAGTGTACAATTTTAAGCAGGTACATTTCAAACCAGTCAATTTTAATTTTAACCATCCGCAATAATCGTCAGATCATAGTAGTTTGATTATTTATCTAATCTGTACATTTATCATTGTCATTGTTGTGTATCTAAACAGAGAAACTACAAACTGACCTTGACCATCTGTATAAAGAATTTTCTGATAGAAAGGACTCATATGAAAAGCTGAAACAAGAAAAAGGTATGAACATCTCATATTTAGAATATAAAAACAGTAGAATAATATAATTAGCAAACTGTGAATGCAAATTATGCAGACGTGTAAGAGGATATTATTGTTGTAATATATTAATTATCATGGATTTACAAAAGGCTATCTTTTTTTTTATTTTATTCACTAAACGTACTGTTCGCTTATTATAATATTTAATGAACTGTTACTCACTATTATACACGCGTCATCACCTTCATTAGGTACGCAATGGTTTTAGTCATGAAACTTAATTGTACATTTTAAAAAGTTTTGAAAAAAAGTGCTTGAATTAATAATGGTGAATATGGTCGGTAAAACACGGATAATTTAAATACTGCCTTTTATTTATTTTATACACTGAACGTACTGTTTGCCCGGTTTGCGGACAAGCTAGTGAATTTATAGTCCACAGGCGCTTAGACAGGGTGCGATTTAGCGCCACGGGTTAGACTTTGAGCACTGGGCGTTCATGATTGCATTTAAGTTGTGTTTGTGTTAAGAGCTTGTGTTTTTTTTTTGTTTTTTTTTGCGTTTGCATTTGTGTTTGCATTGTGTTTGTGTTTTCGTTTGTGTGTTTATTGCATTAGTTTTTTCTTTGTTTTTGTATGTTGCGTTTGTGTTTTTGTTTGTGTTTGCATTGTATTATTGTGTTCTTTTGTGTGTGTGTTGTTTTTGTGTTTTCTTTTTTGTTTGTGTTTTCTAATGTGTTTATGTTGTTTGTGGTGTGTTTGTGTTGTGTTTAGTTTTGTTCTGTTCCCAAGATGCTTTATTTAAAAAAAATATACCGTGGCGGAGCACGGGTATATTATACCTAGTATATTATACAAGTTTAGATTGAGTAACTTGTCGCATTCGGGCAAGTGTCCAATCGGGAGAAAGGTCTTTGAGCTAACGGTATTTAGGAAAACATCAAGCTTTCGTTAATATGACTACAGCTGACGGGAAACTAATAACCTAGCCATTCCCGTAATGGTTTTGCAATAGGTTAAATAACATAATTATTGCCGTTTTAATTTCTGTAGACTGTAGGTACTTTTTGTATTTGTAGCAAATGCTATCGAATATATCTTTCCATTTTCGGATAAATTTCTTAAGATAAGGGTTCACTTTTCTAAATACGCGATATCGGGCTAAAATAGAAATTAACATTTCCGCAAATCTCCGCATTTTATACCTTTCTTAGTCGGAAAAACTTACTTTTGCAATTTTGTCGGTATGTCTGTGTGTGCCTATATGAACATAAATGAGTACCGATTAATTCACGTTGACTAATTAATTTCACATAGAAGTAATATATTTATACTGTAATACTTTTTTACCGTCTGAGCGCGTTGCGCTAATCGGTAGTAGTATTTTAACTTTAATTTCATTTTCCCAAAAATCGATAACTTGATACCGCTTTTGTTAGGGGAATGTAATTTCACATATGATAGTATGCGCATGTATCAACGTTTAACAATTTCCAGTAACCGGAAAAGGTACTCTACTCTATTTCCAAGGGAACACCATAACGAGTACTATTTCAGTAGACAACGTTTATAAAATAGCTATAAAATATTACACTAAGATATTTTTTTTACTTTAGAGTAACTTTGATATAAGGAAATAGTAATTTACGCTATTTTCGGTTGCGAAAATATCAATACAGTGAGTGCCGTTTTTCGTTAGGTGGACGAAATTTTATAATCGTATTAGCTCTTATATTTAGATTTCTACCAGCTTTTGAGTGATTTTCGTTAAATTGAAGGAGTACTTTACTCTATATACAGTTTTCATTAACATATTGAAAATTATTTTTAAAACATTGCGCCCGCCTGAGATTTTTCGACAAAAAAGAGAGGTTTTGTAAAAAAAAACTTCTATATTTTGGGGGAAAAGGGAATTACACCCACCCCCGTCAATTACACCCCTCCCGCATTTACCCTCTAAAAAATTACCACCCCCAACCCTTGTGTTTACTGTCCCCTTCCGCGTTCGTCGAAAAATAGAATTCCGAATTTTCTTTTTTTGAAATCGAAAAGATAAGGAAAACTTGCATACATTCCAAATTATATATACGAGCCGGCCCGCGGCATAACATACGCCGCTATTTAGTTGTTTCTAATTTTCAATAATTCATAATTTGTGAATTCGACAGTACCAATGCTGACACTGAAAATATTTCTTTAAAACACTATAAGTAGCTCGTTAAGGACCATAACCCCCCCTTCCTTCCCTCCCCCCCTCCTCCCCCCCCCCCCCCCCTACGTTTAAAATCGTTGGCTCTGCTTGTAAACATTTAGAGTGAACACAGCTCACTAAAACCATGTAGGGGTGGGGAGGTGGGGAGAGCGTTTGCAGCTTGTTTTCTAACGGCTCGAAGAAGAGAATGATATATATATAGATATATAGGGGTCATCCATAAATGACGTCACGCTTTTCTTGACGATTTTTACCTCCCCCCTCCCCTCCGTCACACTTCGTCACAAAAAGCCAGACCCCCCCTAAAATGACGTCACACCTCAACCTACAACCCCCCCCCCCCTCAAAATTGCAGTTGAATTTGTTTAAAACATTGATATTTTTCCAAAATCTTGTCTAAACTATTACAATTTATTAAAACAGTTATCTAAAACGCGAAATAACGTCTAAAATTCGTTTTCTAACATTGTTTTCTTTTAATGCAAAAATGTAACGTCGCAACATCTGACCCCCCCCCCCCCCCCCCCAATCCACCTCATCACACATCGTCACAAAATTACGGACCCCCCTCCCCCTTACGAGTGTGACGTCATTTATGGATGACCCCATATATGTGTGTATGTGTGTTTGTATATATATATATATATATATATATATATATATATATATATATATAAATATATATATATATATACATATATATTATATATATATATATATATATATATATATATATATATATATATATATATATATATATATATATATATATATATATATATATATATATATATATTGATTGGGCGTTCATTCGCGGTCTTGTAACCAGAAGTAACCCAGTCATCTTGGCCCCTGCATTTATTCTAAAGAGCACAACACAAACGAAAAAGCAATTTTATCTTCTTAAACTAAACAAGACGACAAATGCCACTGAGATATTTTAAACGGTATCTTGGACGAGCGTTCCACGACACCCCTTTATACCCGGGTAGTTCACGCGAGCTGGTTTACTTTTCCTTTGCAGAGGCTGATTAACATAATCCGAATAATTTTTTTCTGGTACAATATGATTCTATTATTTTAAAAAAAACTTATCTTAGTGCAGTTTCGACCCCGAGTCGTATCAAGATAAAACACATGAGCACATGCAGAAACATTTTTAAAGTTGCTAAATCATCACTAAGCCCCTACAAACATATCAAACGTTGCTGAACAAAAAAATATATTTATCATCACTTTATGTCAGGTTATTCACATTCATAGCTAAACTACCCACACCTCAGATATAATAATAGACCACACTATAAGACCATACCAAACAACTAACAACTGACCGCGGGTGGATACGTGCTGATATGAAAAAGACAATAATTTTGTTACTCAAAGCCAGAATACCCCAAATATAGGAAAGTAAAAAAAAAATAAGCAATAGTGAGAATATAGTTCATAGCATAAGTCTAATACTATGGTAACTTTTGGGCAGCAGCTTAAGTAAGAACGGAACAGCGGGAAGTTTTTACATGTTTAGTGGGTATAGTCTATATACTACTAAAAGTCAAGTTTGTTTACATGTTTGAATATTTATTTTTTTGTTTTTTTTTTGTTTGTTTGTTTGTTTGGCTGATCGAGTATTGTGATATGTTCGACTCTATCTGGAGAGCTGTAAAATAGTATGTAGTTTGAGAAAAAATTTTGTTTTAAGACAGACTGTTAATCACACATTTATTTAAAGACGTTAATTAATTTATTGATTTATTCATAGGAAGAGTAACCCTATTTTTTTAAAAAGATTAAAACGACCACTACACTCGGCGTCACAGGTTTTTGTTTATTCTTTAGTACAATAAAATGGCGGCGTCTATCGAAGAAAATTGTGTTCCCATTCAAAAGTTTAACGCGTTCTGAATCTAATTTTCTGTCGGTCATAACTTTAACAATACGCCCGTTTGCTGTATTTATTACGTTCCAACACTTATATCAATTTTCAACTGTCTTTTTCATTTAGTTTTACGATAAATTTCTCTAGATCTAAAATCTGTCCAAGAAAGTTATTTATAGATCTAGATCTAGAATCTAGAATCTAGGACAATCTAGGTCAAATCAAAGATTTATTAGTTATAAATACAATAAAAAAAAACGAGACTTAAGCAAACCAGTCGTAGATCTAGAATATAGATAATTCTATCTAGATTTAGATAATAATGAGTTTCTATATACTAAAATATTTTAGACCTTTATTATTTTGTATTAATCTTTGTTTCGACTATGCAAATTTTGAAATGCTGGCTCCATGGCCTATTTGCGTAGCTTAAGATTCATACGCGGCTTAGATGCCGGTAATTTTGCTAAATTATAAACGTAAATTCTAAATATAGCTCAGTCGTAGTTCTAAAATATAGATAATTTTCTATCTAGATTTAGATAATAATGATTTTCTATATACTAAACTATTTTAGACCTTCATTATTTTATATAAATCTTTGTTTGGAATATGGTAATTTTGAAATGCTCGCTCCGGGCCTAATGATTAGATCTAGATCTAGAATCTAGATCTAGCAAGAAAAACTATACTTAAGACTTAAGCAAACGAGTCGTAGAATCTAATCTAGATCTAGATAATTCTATCTAGATCTAGATAATTTCAGACCTTTTTTATTTTATATAAATCTTTGTTTGGCTAATTTAAGATAAAATTTAATTTGAAAGTTACTACTACTAGACTTAGATCTAGATCTATGCGCGTAAATCAAGTTGCATAAGGAGACTCAAAGTATAGTATAAAAATTCATTTGTGACGGCACGGGTAAATAGCTAAGTTGGTAGCGTAGTCCGCTCTCATGCGGGTGGCACAGGTTCTCGACCAATATGTCAATGATATTTTTATTTCAATTTTTTTTTTAGATGTGAATGATAAAGTTGCCTATCTGAACTTGGCAGGATACAGGGCACGTGAAGTAGAGTTCATCTGTTTCTTTGTCCTAAGCATATGAAAGGATAGTGTGGTCAGAGACATGCTCGGCTGGAATCGTTTTTTAAACGATAAAAACATGTTGTCTGAGACTTGGCGGGACACTGGGCAGGTGAAGTAGAGTTGAGTAGGTCACATGTGACGTCAGTATATGAAGGGATAGTCCGAAATCGGTGTTTTCGGTGTTTTTAAAAGATAAGAAACATATTTTTGAATGTGGGGTCTGTTTTTTGTGACGATAAGTGACACTGAAGTAGCGAGCGAGGAGGGGGGGGGGGGGGGTGGGAGGGGAGGCGAGGGGGGGAGGGGAGGCGGGAGGAGGTGGGGGGGGCGGGGGGGGGACATATGTTGGGGCGCCAAAATGGTTTGGAAAAATAAATTGAAAGGTTGAGGGGGGTTCAAATCGAAAGTTTGAGTGGGGGGGGGGGTTGAAAATCGAAATCTTGGGGGGGGGGGGGTTAAAATCAAAAAGTTTGTCCCCGGGCGCCGGGAAGGGTCGCTATGCCTCTGAGTGACAGACGTGATGTTTTTTGATGGATGACCCCCGAAACCCATAGTTATCCAAGGGATGACGGGTAGTCTAGTTAACATTAAAGCTAAATATTTTTTATTATTATGTGAATTTTTTTTTTTAATTTCGTTTAAAAGTCCATACATGTTTTGAAATTATTACCTCATACTAAATTTATTTAAAGAAATGAATTGTTTTTAATATATTAAATTATGTTTGTATATATATATATATATATATATATATATATATATATATATATATATATATATATATATATATATATATATATATAACATATTATTTATTTTAAATATTTACAGAAAGCGAAGAAGCCAAAAATAAACAGATGTTACTACAAAATCACACCCTTGAAAATAGCGTTAAAGAAAGTACGTTTCTAAGAAAGTAATTGCTTTTGTATGAGCTAAATTTGTTTTGGGTAATGTGAAAGAAATCCAAACTAAATCATAATTTGCGTATAGTTTTCCTCTTCTTAATACATCACATTTACTTGAAATAACGATGTACAAATAAAACTGTAACGCACGAATAACACAAATGACATTCATTTAGTTTATCTCGTAATAGCTTTTCAAGTGTAAAATAAAATTAAAAAAAACAAATCTTAACTTCAAAATGTATATTTATTTACTGTCGATGCACATTATCATCTTTTTCCCTCACCCACTTTCTTTCCACATTTTCTAATCTCTGTCAACTTTTTTCTACAGTTACCATAGCCCCAGCTCTTTCTGCTCTGCGCCCCATGTTTCATTGTCTTTCCCTGTCTTTTCCTTGCGGCGTCCTATTCTGAGCTTTTGTGTAAGTGTTATGAAATCTAAAACTTAACACATGGACATTCTAACCTCACATCTTTTAAAATAGATTTTAAATGGCTTATCTGTAAACGATTTCAATTTTTGTTTTGTTACAACTATGTTAAACTATGTATTTATAAAAAAGGGCTAATTTATTAACGCACTTTTTCTTGTGTGTTGTATGTAGTTTTCATTTAACTCTTATAGTAAAGAACATTATCCTGACATCAGCTAAACATTAAAAATTTAGCTTTTTGTGTGCGTCATATTTTAATGGTTTTGATTCTTATTTGAAGTTATACTGGAAAGATCAAATTTGGATGAGAAATTGAAAGGCAGTGATCAAGGTAAGAAACAAATGCGTATTATGCTAATGTTTATAAATGAATACCTGTTGTTATCTCAGGGATTAATAATGAGCACACATTTTAAATAGACTTGCGAAAGAGATGCATTAAATTCAATAATACATACGTTTGTCTCTTATTGAAGCAATTTTTTTTTAAACACACAGCTCGTTGTGCAGCAGAAAAAATTGTATCAGATCTAAAAAAAGAATTAGGTAAAGTATGCAGTTGTATTAGAGTAGTATATTTTGTTTCAATATTTTAAACATGTTTGTTGGAAATTTAAATCTATTTTCATACTTACGTTTTTCATATACCATTTTTAAAAATAGTTTTGTTTTATTTCTAAAGGAAAAAAAGATATACAAATAAAAATAGTAACCGCCTATATTTCGTTGTCGTTTTACCTAGTTTTACCTAGCATTTAGTTATGCTATGTATATTTTTAATATATATATATATATATATATATATATATATATATATATATATATATAATACTTAATTAATCGTGTTGATCAAGGAAAGTAGCTTAAAAGTAGTCGGATCAATGGAATTGTTATGTAGGGGTTATGCCGAATTCGACGCAACAGGGAACTGGGCGGGATAGTGAAGCAGGGATTGGAGAAGGGTACGGCGTATGTGACTATGAGTGGGAGTTGGAACAATAATTTAATATGTGATTTAAATTGTACTTTTTTTAAGCCGTAACCAGTGTGATCAGTTAACTAATGTATGTGATTTAAGGTAACACAATATTTCAACTTGCGTTTTTACAAAGACTATCAAATCCTTGACACAAATTATTTTCCATTTTCCATTGAATAGTCTTATTTTTTGTTCATTCATTCAGCAACAATTGATATTCCCGTTTCCAAAAAATGGCAGCTAGAGTGCATACTAGAGCCTCGTCCACGTAGTAAGTATAGTCTGTTGTTAGGTTTTGTATGGGTAAATTGACATTTCAGATAAAAACATTTTCGCACATAAATAATTTCTTTATATTGTTTTATTATTCAACAGTATTTATCTTGTACAATACACTTTTCATCATAAAAAAATACTAAACTGGGCTGGCATTTTGGGGGTTGGAACGGATTAATGGCATTTTTATTGCTTTCAATTGAAAAAAATCGATTTCAAACACGAGTATCTGACATACGAGTAATGGTAGGGAACGCATTAAAATCGTATTTCGAGGAACAATGGAATCGCGGTGTGCCATTCAATTATCATAAAATTTGGTTTTAAGCATTTTATATTAGTAATATTTTCACTATTATGTTAATGATAAAGATTAAGATTATTTAATTGCTTTTATGTTTATTTAAAACATACATAATATTTAGTGGCTGAAAATCAACTCTTGCTATGTGTAGTTTTGTTTTTGTAAAGCGTTTACAGATTACTAGCTCGTCATTATCATTTGAACATCTATCTTTGGTAAAACTAGACTTGGAGCTTTATAACTTTATGTTACTTATCCTTCGCGGCCCCTTATAATTAGATATTAATATGAGCCATTTTCGTCAGCTCTATTAAATAGAAACCACTAGATGTTTTTACTGCTTTAAAATATTTATTTATTATGCGAAGTTTTGTTTTAGCAAACTATTTTTATATTACAAAAAGAACCGTTCAACTTAATCATTAATCTGTGTAAAGCTATTCTGGCATAGATACTAATATCTAAACTCTAATGTTTCATATTTTCTTAGTCAAAAGCACGAGTACGGGTTCCATATATAGCTTTGAATATCGAATAGTCCTTAAGAAATCTCTGATGCTGATAAATGTCCCAACTTGCGGAATATGTTACCTCCAGGAAGCTCATTGGTTTTTAATGACGCGCCTAGAGAAATGACGTCAACATAAATTTGTCTTAGTTTGTACCGACTTGTGCTTGTAAAATGTGTCTATTACGTTTGCAATAACAGGGTTTTGTACCTAGTAAGCAAAACAAAAAACTCTAATGTTTTAAGAGAACAAAATATGTGTAAATTAGACACTAAGAAGATATCAGATTGTCTATTTTAACTTAGATTCGTTGTATTTCCAAAAAAAGTTGTTTTCTCTTTTAATGTAGTATTGCCTAGGAAAATAAAGAAAGCGTTAATTTAATAATGCTTGGACATTTTAGCTTTCTAAACGTATTTTTTACTAATATTTAATGAGTCCGACCAGGGCCGGCGTTACCTATAAGGCGAACTAGGGCGCTATCCATAGGGGGGTGGGGCAAAAATGTGAAATCGACAATATTAATAAGTACCTAATAACTAATAACTTGATTATATTAAACTATACATTAAGCCGAATCAATCTATTTCGATGCCAAAACGCACTATCAACTTTGCGCCCCCTCTTCAAATTAGATCTAATATAAGTATTCGCGTTGGTAAAAATGCGCCCCACCTCCCTCATTTGGAAAAGCCGGGGCGCTTTTTACCATTCACTTGGCTTTTTATGTTGGTGTCACACAATTAATGCAGAAAACAATTAAATAAGTCCGTAATGCCAAGTAGCAGTGAACATTCTTCATTTAGACTGTATATATTTCGGTAATGATCTCTTTATTTTATTACCTATCCCGTTTGGCGCCCTCCCCTAACCACGCCTCTGGTAATATACTATTTAATCTAGATCGTTTAATTTCGAACATTTCAGATTATATCTAATTTAATTTTTAATAGGGCTTATAAGTCTCGATTTCTCTCACTTTGAATTAGAAACCTCGTTAGCCAGGGAGAGATTTAGATTTTCAAACAAAACTAATTGTTGGCACCCCAAGATCCTAAACAGAATTTTAAATTAGAACTCTAAAATACTATCTTGGATATGGGTATACAGACTTTAAACGAGAGGTTCCAACAATTAGAACAACATAATATTCTGGTTGGCTTCCTTTATAATATATCCAATATCAACCAAAAGACACCTGCGGATAACTCTCAGACTGCAAACATTTAGAAACGTCGTTGAAGCATAACGCAGGCCGTTTAGGGAGGGGGGGGGGGGGGGAAAGCCAAATCCGACCAAAAATTAAAATTGTTTGCACCTTGATAGACTAGCGGTTTTGTACAAACAAAAACAAGAAACCAAATCGACTGCAGCAGTGATTGTTCTACAGTAACTAACACACACTGTTGCGTAGAGAAAAAAAAGCTACACAATTTGTATTATGAAATATGCGCAAAATTTTAAGCCAGTTATAAGACATATTGTTCTTCTTTAAATAGTCAAATAGCGGTGCCCATAAAGCTAATTAAAAGAGTTCTGTACTAAGTAAATCAAAACAAATTTCTTCTCTTAATAATTATTAAAAGCAATATATATATATATATATATATATATATATATATATATATATATATATATATATATGTATATATAATATTAGGACCCGAAAATAAATTGCGGGGGGGGGGGGGGTAATAATTTTTGACTAGGGCGCTAAATAACCTGGCGCCGGCACTGAGTATGACTAAATTTGATTTGTTTTACATATATCATATGTTAAATATAAGTACATTTTGTTGCTTAATCCTTTAATTTAATATGGCGTAGGGAAATAAATAAATTATTACGAATGACTTAATACTTTTTAAGTAATTATACTTAAAAATGTTAGCATTGGAGATGGGTATTGTTTTACTAACATATTTATGAGCACGACTAAAATTGATTATTTAAAAAAAAAAAATTCAAAATGATTTTTATCACTTTAATGTAGGGTTTTGGAAGAAACTAAACAACGCCAGATGAATGTCTTGCCAAGAGTACTGAGCGCTACAAAACCATGCCTTAACGTGTATCGACTTACATTTTACTTTATAAAACTAGCTTACGATTCCGAAATGGACCCAGTACAGTTTGCAATAACACGGTTTTGTCACGAGAAAATAAAACAGCTCCCATGTTTAGATTAACAAATTCTGTTTTTCACATTGGATACCAAGAGAAACCGAATTATATACTCGATAAAAATAAATTGGTGGTAATTCAATCAGGAAATATGTTTATAACTTTAATGTAGGATTGCGTTCGAAACAAAATACAATTTTACGAATGACGCGCCTAGAGTAATGATGGCGACATAATCTTGTTTTGGTTTGTATCGACTGACTTTATACAATAGTAACTTGTGATTCCGATATATGTCGCGCACCGTTTGAAATAGCATGATGTTGTACCAAGTAAAAAAGAAAGCTCTAATCGTTTAGCAGAACAAATTGTGTTTACTCACCTTAGATAACAAGAATCGACCAGAGTATTTATTTCAACAACTTGCATTCGTGATATTTCCAGAAGAAAGTTGTTAAATTCTTTAATGTGGTATTGCATAGTGAAATAAATGAATCGTTAATATAATAACACTTACAAATTTTAGCATTGTAAATGGATTTGTTTACTAATATCGTAACGAGTACTACTAAAATTGATTATTTTCTATTTTTCAGCAACAATTTGTAAGTAAATTTTATTATCTAGTTATATTTTTTTTACTTTTTGTTTTTATTGCTTCATCTGTTTTTAACTTTGAATATTTTTAACAACCTTATATTTTAATTTAATGGTAATTAAAATGGTTATCTGTTTAATATTTTCTTTGCTAAGTTTTTACTTTTTGAGTTCGATTAATTAAAAGTTTTCCGCTTCAATGCCAGGTAAGTTATGTGTGCGGATTGAAAATATTCTCTAATTTTTGCTAGTTTCAATTTAGTAAAGTGTTTGCAGGTTACAAGTAGAACATTTGAATATAAGCATCAAACTAAGTTAAAACTATACTTTGATTTGTATATGTTAGTCTGGCTTGTCATTCTAGGATCTATTTGACTATTGCATAATATAAATAACATAGCACCGTTGCCACTGAGAGAGGGTTGAACTACCATGCGATAATATCAGACACTGTAGGTCGTCATTGTGCCATTTCACACCCCGACGAGCAGGTGATAACTTATAGATAAGAAGAACACACGATCCTCCTTCTTCTAATTTATTCTGGTTTTGGACTTATAAATCTACATGCACATCTCACTCTCCCGACTGAGTCCCACCGGTCAATATACATCGTCTCACCACGACGATCAAGATAAGACCATTTCACATACAATGCACAGCAACCAAGTTTCTACCCAAAACGTCACTAGCTCTTCCTCCGCATCATCAATTCAATGCGTTCAAAAAACCCTTCGCACCAACATTCACTCGCCCCAATCTATATTTGAAACATGCTTAAAAACATTAACCCCTTTCCCTCAAGGCTAATAACATTAGCTTCTACTCATGTAGCTAAGTCCAACACACTATTTCTAGTAACATAGAATAGCCCAATATAGTTTCAACCTAACAATATCAACTAGGCACTATATACATGAAATATCATTGTCAAATCCTACTTAATTCATACATTAAATCTTGTAGCTTTGCTCCCACACAACTTTATTTCAATCACTGACATTCAACTCATGTTAAAAGTTTATCCTGGAATCTCTGTCCATCATATAGTGTATTTTTGGTTCTTGGTTTATTTCGCATCATCACATTCAGAAGTTCTATCTCGGGTGTCACATTAGCATTGTCCATCTCTTCCCACAAGTTTCTATAATAAAAAATATAGCCAACACCACATTAGTTCAAACCAACACTCAGGCTCCTCTTCTTCTTCTTCGATAACACCCGATACGGCCGCTAGCACGAAATATGTTTTGGACTTATCTAAACTCTTCCTGTGGTGGTACAGTATTATCCGGTTTACGTGGAAGACTTTAGTCCTCTAACCGACTCTAACCACATAGTCTAGGTCTGAGATTTTGTTATTAACTTCGTAAGGCCCTGCCCATCTAAGCTCCAACTTGTTCAGCAGTTGAGGCTTTAGGACCAGCACATGGTCGCCAATGCTAATGTCTTTTA